TAACTCAGAACCTCTATCTTAGACTACAGATATATGGTTGCCGTCTAGCACAATATAGCCGAGCATTCCTTGTGTGGAGGCTCAATAACGCGGATTTGGCGGAAATTCGCCCATATTCTGGGATATGATAGAATTATCGCTTGGTGGCCATTACCATCATTACGAGAAATCGTCGCGAAAACCCCTGGCGAGCGCCATTTTCAAGAGGAGGGCGGGGCAGTATGCCTCGAGAATTCCTCGCAAGCATCGGCTAACGAAGAGCATCTGCGATTCAGATAACTGAGCGCCTCTTGCCTACCTTCTTCCGCCAGTTCTAACTGCAATTCTACATTACCCTACATCGATTTCTAAAATATTCGGAACTGAAATCTAATTCGCAACTCACAGCGCTACGATATGTCGAGCGCCAGAATACGTCGAGCTAATTCGGCAAGGATTCCCTCGTCCACCTATAGTGGCCGCAATCTACGAGTTTCAGATGCATTTTCGGATAGCATACGTACGTTGGCCATCACAGCTCGACGCAATTCGAGTCCCCTCTCACGAAAATCCACCAAAAAGATGAAGAAAAGCCGACTTGTTGCGAAGAATGGCCTTTGCAATGTATTCAATACTAATGTGCCCAAGAAAGATAGGCAATACCTTAGGTAAGTTATTGCATCTCAATCTGTTAGTGTTCTCCAACTTCAAGCGTTTTAGGGATATTTTTACGACAATGATCGATGTGAAATGGAGATACATGTTGTTTATTTTCGCACTCGTCTTCGTGTTGAGGTACGTTTGTCAACGTCGACTTCAATTTGGTGGTAAAAATTGAGAGCTAAAACTCAAGCCCAAATAAGGGACCATTTCACTCTCATTTCTACCCTTCTTACAAATAACATCTCATTATTTTGAAATATTGCTGTAGAAGTAGTCGCGTAAGAAAACATAACTCATGAACGATGATTTGCAGCATTTTTTGTCTCTCAAAGATTACCACTCAGATATGGGCTAGACCCTCAAACGACAAACTAAAATATAGAGTTATGTGGTTCCGACGATTTGCAATACTTGTTATTCTGTCGTGGCAGTTTGGGATGCGAATGAGTCCGGTAGAACGTAGTGTGGAATGGTAATGGCGATATGTTAGCTTTGGAATTCTTTAATAAATGTAAAAGCTTATGAATGAGATGTGCTGAATGGTTACCAGGAGTCTGCAACTGCATAAAAGAGAGTTTTTCCAAATGTTTGTCGCCCTGAAGGGCCCTCAAAAACTTAAACTTCCCTTCTTCAAAGGAAGTATAAGCGAGAGGCTTGAGTTCATTTACAAATCCTTAGCTTCAAAAAAGAATGGTAATTAAATATCCTATGAAACCATAATCATCCTCAATAGTTTTTGTTCAAACAGAATATTTTACGAAATTATAAAATTCTCATCAATGCAAAATGACCTAGATACGTATTTACGAGTCTTCTGGAAAAATACCTTTTCGACCTCAACTAGGCTTTCAAGGAAACTTTCTTTATGCAAATAGGCCTATTGAAAAGGTTCAATTCTAATCTTACATCCTTAAATCCCTACTGTCGCGTTTTGTGAATACTTTCGATTAGAACCTCCCACATGATGCTATCTGCCACATACTCTCTGCTCTTGTTTTTATTTTTTTCGGGCATCAATCTCTTTCCAACAGTT